TGCCATGGATGTGGAAGTGGCTAAGAAATTGGCCATCTCATGGGATCCAGACATAAAAATTCAAATGCAGAGTGCAAACAGGACAGTTGAACAGACCTTGGGTCTTGCTAAGAATGTACCTTTTATCTTTGGAACTATAACAGTATATCTACAAGTCCACATCATCACTGACCCAGCATATAAAGTGCTATTGGGCAGACCATTTGATGTATTGACAGAGAGTACTGTCCAAAATTATAAAGACGGGGGACAAACTCTTATCATAGCGGATCCTAATTCAACACAATGATGTGTATTACCTACACATGAAAGAGGAAGACCACCTGTTGTAATGAAAGCAGAAATTCCTAAGCCGTCTGAGGATTTTCGGTCTTCGATGAATTGATCAAAGATCAAGGAGAGATTGCTGTAACCTTGATAGATGATGGTAATGGTGGTTTTGAATGCAAGTCATATACATTACCAGGAAATGGAAAATTTGAGCAAGAAGAATTGAGAAATCTTTACTTGCTCCAAACCTTGAGAAATGAAAAACAATTAGAAGAAAAAGACCATCCTGCACTTGTGAGTTACTTAGGGAAATATTTCTCTGATGTAAACTTAAAGTCAGGGGGGATCCAAAATGTTGAAACCATGATGAATGTCATTTATGATCATGAGGATAAAGCAGCACCTAAGGAAAAGAAAGAGGATCCTGTAGAAACTAGAGAGACTTTTGTCACAAAGAAATACAAGCCAGTTGCACAGAAAATCAGGCCAGTATACCAAGACCTCCCAGATAAATTCAGAATAATTCGTGATATTAAAGGGAATCCTCTTGACACTCTCCCAAAGTTGAATAGGACACCTCCTGACTTTGTACCTACGGGTCGCTACACTGATGAAAGAAAGGAACAATTTGACAAAGTCCACAGCGGTGACTTTTTGTGGCCAGAAGAACGAAAATTATTACACCATTTTATGATGGAGAATAATGAGGCTTTTGCATGGGATGACTCTGAGAGAGGAAGATTCAAACCAGAATACTTCCCGCCTGTAGATATTCCTGTTATACCACATACACCATGGGTCTTGAAAAATATTCCTATCCCACCAGGATTATTCTCAGAAGTATGTAAAATCATTAAGACAAAGATAGATGCTGGGGTTTATCAGTACTTATCACTCCCCCACCTATTCCTACTGGACTCCAGGACTCCAGTAAGATTCCTACTGGATTCCAGGACTCCAGTAGGATTCCCACTGGATTCCAACAATTCTTCCAAAAAAGGCATTTTCCACCTATTGGACTCCTACTGGACTCCAACTGGACTCCAACTGAACTTAGACAAAAAAATCCAATGCTTCAGTTGGACTCCTACTGGATTCCTACTTGAGTATCATGCATTCTATCAATTTTTGATTAAGTCAGTCAGACCTTTTAGCACCTCAAAATTCCATACCAAACTTGCATAAAACATAGATATTATATTAATAACTATATACACAAATATATACAAAAAGTATTTAATAATCTAATGTGGTCAGGGAGGGGGAGGGAGGAAGTGGTGGGGAATGATGAAGGGGGGGAGGGAGGGGGAGGCAGGGGGAGGGATGGAAGGGAGATGGGAGTGATGGAGGGAGGGGGAGGGGAGGGATGGAGGTGGGAGACAGGTGGGGTTCATTCTCGTCCATGGGTGGTCATTCTCGTGCGTGGGCGTTCTCGTGCGTGGGCAGTCGTTCTCGTGGGCGGTCATTGTTGTACGTGGGTGGTCGTTGTTGTGCATCGGCGTGGTCGTTGTTGTGCGTCGGCGTGTGGTCGTTCTTCTGCGTGGGCGTTCTCATGCATGGGCAGTCGTTCTCGTNGGCGGTCATTGTTGTGTGTCGGCACGGTCGTTGT